TGTGTGTGTATGTGTGTGTGTGTGGGTACGAGCGGGCCGAGGGGCGGCGGCGTACGGGCGGCACCGTACGGGCGACGACGGGCGGCGGGCCGGGGGCGATCGATGGCGCGATCGAGACGGCGACGTAGTACGGGGCGGCGGCGCGAGACGGCGATGACGGGGACGGCGACGACGGGCGGCGGGGGCGGTGAGGGGGGAAGTGGTCGATGAAACTGATTTTTCGTAAGTGCCATATATATAAGAGGGGCGTTAATACCGATTGAAGCCACCAACTGATACTAAAGGACAATTTTGGCCAGGCCAAGCGGCGGGAAACGAGCGCCTTTAGTACCGATTATTACCCCAACCGGAACTAAAGGACAACCCATTAGTACCGGTTGGAGCCACCAATCGATACTAATGGTCGTGCGCTGCCATCCGCGGTGCACTATGTTTAGTCCCACCTCGCCGAGCGAAGGGCAGCCGCACTGGTTTATAAACCCAGCCGTGGTTGCTCTTTCGAACTCCTCTACATAGCAGGCTTCTGGGCCTAACTAGGGCGCACTGCCCTATGAGCCCACCGGCCCTTCTGGGCCTGAATTTGCACACCCTAGGTCTGGCAGGCCCACCGGGCAGCGCCCCAACTATTTTTTATATAGTTTTTTTCTTTTCTACATTATTTATTTTTGAGTAATTTTTTATATAGTTTTTTCTTTTCTGCTTTATTTTTTTTCTATTTTTTCTGAGTAGTTTTTTTGCTGTATTTAGTTTTTTTGTGAATGTTTTTGCGTTATATAGTTTTTTTTCTTTTCTACATTATTTATTTTCTTCTATTTATTTTTGAGTAATTGTTTTATATAGCTTTTTCTTTTCTGCTTTATTTTTTTCTTCTATTTATTTCTGAGTAGTTTTTTTGCTGTATTTAGTTTCTTTGTGAATATTTTTGCTTTCTATAGTTTTTTTTCTTTTCTGCATTATTTATTTTCTTCTATTTATTTTTGAGTAATTTTTTATATAGTTTTTTCTTTTCTACTTGTTTTTTTCTTCTATTTATTTCTGAGTAGTTTTTTTGCTGTATTTAGTTTCTTTGTGAATATTTTTGCTTTAGTAGCTTCAAATGCTGCATAATGCTTCATTTTGGAGTGATTTTCAATTTCATGGTCATTTAGCTATCTAAACAAATTGATGACGTCGCTTCAAATGCTGCATAATGCCGGCTCAAAAAAGTTTGGAGTTCAAATAAGTTCAAAAAAATAAAGTGCCCATGTAACAGATGAGTTCTGATCCAAAACCTTAATACTCCAAAAGAGATTGTCCAGTTTGTACACGAAGTGCGTCTAGTTTTTGCCGTGACCCTCTCTACGCTTTCGCACATGCTATGGGGGTGAAATGATGATACCATGCCAAGTTTCAACATTTTCAGAGTTCATTTTGTTGTAATTTACTGTTTCACGGTCATTTGGCTCTCTAAAAAAATTGGTAAATGACTGAAAAATAGCAAATGATGTCAGAACGTGTTGGAAATTGATGACGTCGCTTCGAATGCTCCATAATGCCGGCTCAAAAAAAGTCTGGAGTTCAAATAAGTTTTAAAAAAATGAAGTGCCCGTGTAACAGATGAGTTCTAATCCGAAACCTTAATACTCCGAAAAAGATTGTCCAGTTTGTACACGAAGTGCGTCCAGTTTTTGCCGTGACCCTCTCTACTTTTTCGCACATGATATGGAGGTGAAATGATGATATCATGCCAAGTTTCAACATTTTCAGAGTTAATTTTGTTGTGATTTACTGTTTCACGGTCATTTAGCTCTCTAAACAAATTGTTAAATGACTGAAAAATAGCAAATGATGTCAGAACATGTTGGAAATTGATGACGTCGCTTCGAATGCTGCATAATGCCGGCTCAAAAAAAGTCTGGAGTTCAAATAAGTTTAAAAAAAGAAGTGCCCGTGTAACAGTTGAGTTCTCGTCCGAAACCCTGATACTCCGAAAGAGATTGTCCAGTTTGTACACGAGGTGCGTCCAGTTTTTGCTGTGACCCTTTCTACTCTTTTGCACATGCTATGCGGGTGAAATGATGATACCTTCAACATTTTCAGAGTTCGTTTTATAGTGATTTTCAATTTCACGGTCATTTAGCTCTGATCTAAACAAATCGGTGATTGAAAAACAGTAAATGATGTCAGAACGTGTTGGAATTTGATGACGTCGCTTCGAATACTGCATAATGCCGGCTCAAAAAAAGCATGGAGTTCAAATAAGTTAAAAAAATGAAGTGCCCGTGTAACAGATGAGTGCGTCCAGTTTTGAAGTGAGTGGCGGCCGGCATTGAGGGGGAGTGAGTGGAGAGAGTGAGGGCGTAAACATGTAAAAATATACATCAAAAATACATTGATTATCAATGATCTTTTTGTATATAATCTGAATTGTCAATATGAGTCCTCAATGGTTTAGAAACCGATGAAGACTCATATTGAGTCCACAAATTATACACATACTCCCTCCGTCCTTTAAAGAGTGTACTTCCAACTTTGCTGGAGGGTTAAACTATCTCAATGTTTGACCGAGTTTGTGCAAAAGTATATCAATGTTTATGAAACCAAATAGGTATATGATGAAAATATATTTTATCATGAATCTAATGCTACTAATTTGATGGCATAAATGTTAGTGCCTTATTGTATAAATACGGTCAAACATAAAAAGTTTGACTTTCCAACAAAGTTGGAATTACACTCTTCAAAGGACGGAGGGAGTAGAGTTCAATGAAGATCAAATGCTTGTGATAGTTTGAGAAGTAACATATTTAAGATGGTAAAAATCTTGCTAGGGGAGCGAGGTGGGACTAAAAATAGCCTACCACAACCCTCTTTACTACCGGTTCGGGCCACGAATCGGTTTCTCACGTGGCACGAACCAGTACTACAGATTCACAATAAACCGGTACTAAAAATCTCCTCCCGCCTAGCCATTTGAACCGGCACTAATTGATACATTAGTGCCGGCTCAAATGCAAACCGGGACATATCTGTCGATGGCAGCACATTAAATAGTCGAGCACATATCTGTCGATATGTTAACGGAGAATACATGTCAAAGAAGAAAACAACCGTGGGCATGGAAGTCAGCAGGACCTGCCATGCTTGATGGAGATTTACGGATAGCTCCAGCTAAGGGGTCAAGTCATTCGTGTCGGCGGCATGTGCATACTCATTTGCGGATGGCTGTGTTTGCATTTCTCACGCGGCATGGCAATGCTGTACTAGCTTCCAGTACTTGGATGGTGACTAATAGTAATGTATATAGACTAGAAGCAATAATGTGTTAAATTGTCTCACAGTAATTCAATCCTTCTCCTCTTCCTCCAAGAAAAAAAAGTTAGGGTTTGTGCCTCTTGTCGGTGCCGGCGCAGGTCCGCCTCGTCTCCGGTGGCCCTAGGGCCATGGAGGCGTGGTGGATCCTGCCAAGGGCCGGGAGGGCTCCGTTGTTAGTCGTTTTTTTCAATCTTGTTAGGTTTGTGTCCTACTCAGAAAGGCGAGACGGCGGCGGCTCCCTGAAGATGGAATAAAGGTCTCCCCGCCTAGCCCCCATTCTGGCGATGCGTCTAGCATCGTTGGTGGGCGTATGGAGGTGTGTCTCCGGCAGATCTATCTTTGATGGATTTGTTCGGATCTCATCATTGTTCGTCTACGCTCATGTGTCTTCGGTTTGGATCCTTCCGATCTACGTTATTTTTCATCGGCGGCAGTTGCTGTTCTGGGGTGTTGGTCCTATGGGGCCTTAGCACGACGACTTCCCGACTGTCTACTACAACAAGTTGTGCCCGGCTCCGGCGATGGAGGGGCGATGACGGCGGTGCCCCTTCGGCTCGCTTCGGTACTTGTAGTCGTCCCTAGGTGATCTACGAATCTGGATGTAATTTTTATTTTTGGTATTCGTTATACTGCCATGATCGAAGATGAATAGATTGAAAGTTCTTTCACAAAAAAAAAAAAATCATCTCACAGTATATGCTAGCCTTATGAGTTGGTTATTTTACCAAGTAGTAAATATAGTGGAGTGTCTAAAATTACGTAAGTGTGTTCGTGAACGGATTAATACAGCGCAGCGATGTTTTCGCGTGAAACACTAGCACGCCATCAACGATTTCAATTAATAGTTGGGCGCACCTCTGTCCATATGTTAACAAATAGTCAAAGAATAGAATAACTGGACAGCCCTGCCATGGAATTCCATACCGTATGAGAGTTACCGTCAACCGTGGCCATGGAAGTGTGCAGAACCTGCCGTGCTTGATGGAGAGTATGAGAGCTACTGTCAGCTCCAGCTAGCTAGCGGTCAAGCCATTCGTGTTGGATCAAGATTGGAGGGCATGCACCCCATCTCTCAATCTATTTCTACTTGATTCTACCCGAAAATACCTCAGCCGTACGTCTCCTATCTTTGCACGACCACGTTTTGACAAGCCGACGAGCCATCCAACCTGTATGCATGGTCCAGGATAGACGATCTATATTGTTTTGACAACGAGAGAGATGGGAGGAGGAAGATGGTTAATGCTGACGTGTGTCTCACATGTAATAACGGTCAAAATAATTGTCATAAACGTGTTTCAATCGTCAAAAACGGTCATCAATCGTTTTTGGTAGTTTTTTGCAACAAAATTAGAAAAAAGTGGTAGTTTTTGGTCAATCTTCAAAAAAAAAGTGTGGTTCAGTCGGACGAGGACCTCAAATGTGGTAGTTTTTTTTGTCAAATACTCGTTCAAAATAGAATAAGAGAAATGGAAAATAGCTAGTTTCATGTGCTGTTTGGGATATATGCTTAAAACTACATGTGCCTGGCTGTGATGCTATCCGATTCGTTTGTCATACGTGCTAATAGCTTATATGATCCACATGTACTCCCTCCGTTCCGATTTACTCGTCGTGATTTTAGTTGAATATCTAACCTTAAAACATCATTTAGATCAATAAATCTGTATCTTTCAATCAAAATAGCAAGGCCTGTGGAGCACATCTCATTCAATCTTGAGCTGAGGAATTAAAGGTGAGGATTCTATGTAACAGTCCGGACGGTCAGGGAGTGCCTGAATCTGAGCCTGATTCCTGGTCTCCAGCATTTGCACTACCTGGTGCATGGTTGGCCGCAGCAGCGGGTTGGGCTCCATGCACCACAGCGCCACGCGCGCAAACTGCTCCACCCTCTGCTTGTCCCCCACGGTCTCAACGTCCGGGTCGCCGTCCAACATCAGCTCAGTCCTCCGTGCTACCACCAGCTGCGCCGCCCAACCAAACAGCGTGACTGTCTCGTCGTCATCTCCCGCGTCCGCTGACAACCTGTCATGCACCACGCGCTCCTGGCACCTCCGGCAGCAAATCAGCTCCAGGAGCACGACGCCGAAGCTATACACGTCCGCCTTGGTGTCCACACGCGCATCGCTGCGGAGCCACTCGGGCGCGATGTACCCTCTGGTGCCCCTGACATTGGTCACCGTGGTGTGCACTTGCTGGCTCCCCAGCAGCTTGGAGATCCCAAAGTCGGTGATCCTTGGGACGCCACGGTCGTCAAGCAGGATGTTGTCGGGCTTGATGTCGCAGTGGATGATAGGGGCGCTGCAGCCATCGTGGAGGTACTCAAGCCCACGAGTGATGGCAAGGGCGGCCTCGGCACGCCAGCACCACTGGGGGCGCCTCTCTTGGTCGACGATGAGGACGCTGCGGAGTGACCCGCCCGGCATGAACTCGAAGACCAACATCCGGTGTCTGCCTTCTTTGCAGTAGCCAATCATACGGACCAGGTTCCGGTGGTGGATCTGCCCGATGGACTGCACCTCATTTGTGAATTCCTGCTCACTGTACTCGTTGGAGTTGATGAGCTTCTTCACCGCGATGAGGTGCGGCTGCGGCGATCTTATCGTCCCTTTGTAGACCTCCCCGAAGCTCCCTTTGCCCAGCAGACTGTCGAAGCCATTGGTGGCTTGGTAGAGCTCCTTCCAGCTGAATACTCTCACACCAGAGTTCAACGGCCGCTGGCTATCACTGGTTCTGATGAGGTAATGCTGTGCCACGAGGCCGCCGATGGTGATCAAAAGGAGACAGAACAGGCAAAAGGAGGCCGACGGGCCGAACTCCGGCGTGCAGCCGATATTGGTCTGCTGCGCGTCGATGTAGGTGTACCCAGTAGGGCACAGGCAGCTGAGCCTGTCTATCGTCTGCACGCAGTAAGACCCCGGGCCGCACAAGCCTTGCCTCGAAGATGTTACCCTGTTGCAGCCTCCGTCACCGGAGAGTGCTCCCGACACTGTCCAAGGCGTGCCCCCGCTACCGTATCTAGGGCGGGTGTAGGTGCGGACGATGCCGTCAGGGTCCATCCTCGCCAACTGCAAGTAGTTGCCGCCGTTGGAACCTTTAGGCGAAATCAAACCGTGAACGCTGCCATCTCGAAGCGTGTAGTTGAGGAAACCCTGGTTGTCAAAGGTGACGGTCGTGTTGCCATTGGGGCCGTAGGTGCGCGTAGCCCAGTAGGCGTTGGTCGTTCTGTAGTCAGCGGTGAAGAGGTCGAGGTAGAGGACGACGTTGCCGTCGATCTGGACTGCCAGGCTGCCCGAACTGCGCGTCCGCGCGCTTGGAGACGAGGAATCCCCCGGGCGAGTAACTCGAGGACAAGGGCTGCCCTGGGAGCAGCGTGTCCGTCGGGTTCCGGAAGCTCTCCAGAGCACGATGTCGCCGTCGCCGAGGAACTGGACGTTGCCAGAGTCGCTCAGCGCGAGGACGGACCCGCGCTGCATGCCAGTCGTGGCGCTCCACAGCTCTTGGTCGCCGCGGTCTGTGAGCCTGAGGCGGCCGTCACCCGTGATGTTGAGGACGGACGTCGCGGTGGCGACGACCGCGGTGCCCATGGTCGTCTTTTTCAGGAACCACACCACGGACTGCGGCTGCGGCTGGGAGGAGTTGGCGTCGTCCGCGAAGCGGAACCATGTGGCGAGGACGAACTTGGTCGGGTCGGAGTCGAGGGTGCGGAAGCCGAAGGCGAAGCCGCCCGACGGGCTGGTGATGTACCGGGGCGGCGTCAAGGCGTCTCCCGCGGTCAGGTTATTGGCTTGCGCCATGGCCACAGGCACCAGACGGGCTTGTTGCACCAGCATGGCAACCAAGGTGGCGAGGCGGAGGAAAACAAAGCGAAAGCAGGGCAGTGCCGCCATGATCGTCGCGCAGCTTCGTGCAAAGGAAGCAGCGTGCGTCCTCCTTTATTTGTACGGAAAAACTAACGCCCACACGTGTGGGCATTTTCAGATCGCCCACACGCCTTCATCATCACTCATTTTGCCACGTATGAATAGATGACATCAGCAGAAATCTTTTTGATTTTTGGCTTAAAAAAGTTTTATCTCCTAAATAAAAAAGCGAACTAAAAATCCATTTTCACCATTAAATCCGTCTCAACGAGATCTTCAAAACTAAACCCCATGTTGATATGTTTCAATGAATTTTTTTTGCCCAGAAGTTGCCATGATGTTTACACTATATTTGCCATAGTGCTTAAACTAAAATTGCAATGTGGCAATTTTAGTTTGTAGATCATGGCAATTTTAGTTTTTTGATGATGGCAATTCCAGTACTTTGATCATGAAAATATTTTTTTATTGAACCATGGCAATTTTAAGTGTATGTATCATGGCAATTTTAGTTTCTGGTGCATGGCAAGTTTAGTTTCTTAATTCTCCATTTTATAATATGTTAAGATTTATTTTTAGATGTAAAAAAAAATAGTTGAAACATATCATGGCAACTTCAGTGTAAATATCATGGCAATTCATGTGCAATATACATGGCAACTTTTAACCCCAAAAAAATTTCGCCAAAATATATCGATATGAGATCTAGTGTTGAAGATCTCGTCGCGAGGGATTTAATGATGAAAACGGATCTTCAGTCGGATTTTTCATTTAAGAGATAAAATATTTTAAAAACTGAAAATCCGAAAAGATTCTCGCATGCACGCATGCGATGACGTGACAATCTATTTATATTAGAGACGTGTGGTGCGTCTCCTTTCCTGCCACACGTGTGGCAGTTATCGACGTTCTATTTGTAAGCTGCATGCCGAGCATGCATGGTCGTATGATAGTCGTGGGCGGGAAAATTCTTATTCAGCGCGCGTGCATAAACGGTTCAGCGGATATGGCAAACAGAGCCGTATGACAGAGACCGGCTACCAGTCAGTTTGACTAAAATACGAACTTTGGGTCAGTCGACTGACCCAAATTTTTTTTTAGTCGCCACTAACGTGACCAGCGTCATGCATGTATATATCCATGTTTGGTTCACAGTTAATATCTGATGTTCAATTACTATGAGTTGTAAACCCGATAACCAAAAGAAGAAAAGGTGGTCATCTGAAATTCTAATAATTGTGGTAGTGTCCCCACAAATAATGTATGAATATAAAAAATAGAGTTTTCTAAGGAAGAATAAATTAGTGTCACTTGTATTACTCTTAAAAAAGGAAAATATAAAAAATCTAATAAAGACAAAATTTACACGTAATTTGCACAGAAATTGCATTTTATAATAATATGCAAGAATAAGTATTTAATAGTGAAAGTTGCGCAAAGGGGAGTTTTGTAAGAAGGATTGAATTAGGGGCATCAATTACCATTAAAATGGAGTAAAAAATCAATTATTGACAAAATTTACACATAAACAGAGATTTTTTATAATATCCAAAAATAAGCATAATAGTGGAACTTCTTTCGTAAAAAAAGTTTTGTAAGAAGTGATATTACAAAAAGCAGGAAATGTATAAGAAGCATCAAGCCCAGTTGAAAAATCGACTTACCTCAGACAGGGGCAAGTCAAAATTCCACCTCTCAGAGAAAAGACGAGAAACTTTTTTTCTCTATGTTACTAGGTCAATAAAGGGACACATCAGCGATCAGGTGAAATCAGCGATCGTCTTCCCTTTTTGATTTTTCTGCCTTGTCATCCTGCACCACTCATTTTTCTTGTCCCCATGCATGCTTTTCCCCTTACCTGTACACTTGATTTCTTCTTCTCATTTCTTCCCTTTCCAATTCATGGACGCTTCTTTCTCCCAGCCACCCACCTCTCTCGTCTGCAGCACGGCATGGCAAACTCGCTGCCTTCAACCTCTCACCGGCGACCACGCACCCCCTCGATGCGAGCTCTATCCTACGCTGACGAAAAGTGCCTGTGCCCGCTGCTGCTGTGATGTGAAACACGATGATGAGGGAACGACGAGCTAGTTTGTGAGACACGATGCAACGCTAGGGTTGTAAATCACGACAGTCCAAATTCGACAGAGAATGTTTAACTTTCAATTTTTCAGTTGGCCAATACTGTCGAAGGCTATCAACAACTGCCGGAGGACAGTATCAATGTGACCATAAAATGCACAAGAAATACATATGATTCTTCACAAACGGGAAAATAATTTGTGTTTATATATATCAGGTATTTAAAATACACTCACCTGGCCGTGCTGCCACCAAAAAGATAGGTTCTTTCAACACCAACGCAGCATGGTGCGCTTGGTGGGAGAGGTTGTGGAGCGAGTTGCAGCTGTTGGCCGGTGCCGCCATCAGTGTAGGAATTAACCCCAACCAAATCTTAAAAAAAATTAGGAAGAGCTCAGAGCACCATGGGAAGATGGGGAAAGTAGAACAAGGGCTCACCCTTATTTGTAGCATTTGCAGAACCAGAGTAGGCGGCGTTTTTTTTTTTTGCATTCCCCTTTTAGCCTCTTAGAGTTCCATTTCCATTTAGTGTTATTTTTCCTGAGGGTGCAGCTATATCCTGGTTGCCATCCATACCCATCTGGCGCATGGTGTCGAGGAGATCCAACCGGCGAAAGAAGTAGCAGGTATGGCATGTTTATGTGTGAAAATTTTGATGTAAAGGTGAGGTGTCTATACCTTCTGTCTGTACTTATGCAGATAATTCACTGTTGTAGATAGAAAAATACTCTTTGGACAGGTTTACGCCAGATCAATTCCCAGATGCAGATCTTCCTATTTGAATTGCTACACAAAGGAAAGTCTCTCGTTATGAAGGATCTCTGCACGAAGCAACACTAAAGTCTGATATTGAAACAAAACAATCTGAAGGCTATGTGAGGTTAGATTCCGAGTAGATGCTGGTTACCTTCTACTATTTTAGGGGCACACTTTTGATTCCTGCTTTACATCAACTTAGGCAAATCTACTTCATTATTACTAGCGGAGACTAGGGTTTGACTATGAACCCCATAACCACTTGCTTATTACAAGTTTCCACAGTTCACATTCTCATTTTCCATTACTTACATGCTTCCATGCCACCGAACCCCAATAGTACTATTGTCACCCTTATTTATTGGTTTCTTTCTTTTCCTATGTATATTATCGTTGAATAGAAAGAAGTGTAATATAATCAATATTAAAATTGATAGTATATGGAGTTTTCCTGTTTATTTGTGGTGCCTACTTTGGTACTTAACCACTATATATTCATGAATTTATGAAGTATATTCTGCTTTTGCTTCAGGCAAAAAATTCTGGCTAAAATGACCCTTCCAAATATATAGGAGCCAGCAAGCAGAGAATCTTGTGGCAACAATATTTGAGAGATGATGAAAGCTTCTTGTCTGGCAAGTTTACTATCCAGGTATCTAGGATTTGATCGCTGAACACCCTTTCTTACCCAGTACGTTATGAATATAACTATTTGTATTATGATTGCGTAGTATTTGCCATTTTGTGTCAAATATGTAACAATTGCGAGTGTAAAAAATGGTGGAAGCGTCTCAATCTCCATACATGGAGACCCTCTGAGTATATATTGATTGTGGGATGCGGTACAGGAGATAGCAGCGTCTAGGCTAACCATCGAGAGATATTACAGGAGGTTTTAGGAGATAGAATGAGATGAAACAGAAAATAGAGAATCTCCTAACTACCTCACAGTGGGTCACAAGAGCTCAAGACGTGTTACAAAAGAACACTCTAAACCCTGTTACGCAATATGTTTAACATCCTCCCTTAATCTGAACTTCTCAAGTTTAGATTATGCTTAAATTCTTCAAATAATCTTGTGGACAAAGCCTTTGTGAATCCATCTGCAACTTGATCCTTTGAGGGACTAAACCGAATCTCCAATTCCTTGCTAGCAACCCTCTCTCTCACAAAGTGATAATCAGTCTCAATATGTTTTGTTCTTGCATGGAAGACAGGGTTAGCCGAAAGATATGTTGCACCAATGTTGTCACACCAGAGACATGGAGTTTGTGTGTAACATATGCCAGGTTCTTTAAGCAGAGCTTTAACCCATATTATTTCTGCTATGGCATTTGCTAATGCCTTGTATTCTGCTTCAGTATTTGATCTTGATATTGTTGCATGTTTCTTGGCACACCAAGAAATTAAATTTGGCCCAAAGAAAATCGCAAAGCCACAAATGGACCTCCTATCATCCAAGCAATCTGCCTAATTAGAGTCAGAAAAGGCACTAACAAGAGTGGAAGTTGACTTGGTGAAGGTTAGCCCAACACTTAATGAGTTCTTCACATATCTCAGTATGCATTTAGCAGCAGTCCAATGAGCAGAAGTATGTGCATGAAGAAACTGACACACTTTATTTACTGCAAAAGAAATATCAGGCCTGGTGAGTGTCAAGTACTGAAGTGCTCCTACCAAACTCATGTATTTGGTGCCCTCCTCTTAATTTAAAGGAACACCCTCTGCAAGAGACAATTTTTCTGAGCTGGAGAGTGGAGTTGGTGTTGGTTTACAACCCTGCAACCCTGCCTTGCTCAGAAGATCAGTTGCATATTTTTCTTGCGAAAGATGAAGACCACCTTCCTGGTTCTTCTTGACCTCAATGCCAAGGAAAAAAATGGAAGTCACCGAGATCTTTGAGAGAAAAATCTGACTGCAAGTCTCTCAAGAGAGTTGTTACTGCCTCATTAGATGAATTAGTAACAATGATGTCATCAATATAAATGAGCACAAAGATAACCGTGTTGAACTTGTTGTAAATAAATAAGGAAGTATCAGACTTGGAAGCAACAACGCCAAGAGTGTGCAGTTTGGAGCTAAGGCGAGAGTACCATGCCCTTGGGGCTTGCTTCAGTCCGTAGGGCAATTTATCAAGTCTGCAAACATGAAATGGTTTATCTGGATCTTCAAACCCAGGAGGTTGTTTC